ATTCTTCCCAAGTGGTCTGTCCTTGCTTCCACCTCTTGTACCTCCTGCTTCTGCTTGAGTTTTGCCAGGAGCTCCTTGTTCATCCATGCCGGTCTTCTCCTCACTTTGCTCGACGACTTGCACACAGGGATGCATTGTTCTTGAGCCTGGAGAAGTGATGTTTGAATATTAACCAGCTCTCTTGCACCTCTTTTCCTTCAAGGGTCTGATCGGGTGGGATTCTTCCCAGAAGGTCCCTGAAGAGGCCAAAGTTGGCTCAGCTGAAGTTCAGAGTTGCAGTCTTGCTTACTGCCCTGTTTCCTCCCAGCAGGATCATGAACTCCACAATCTCACAGCCACTACAGCCAAGGCTGCCCCCAACCTTCACATCCCCAACTACTCCTTCATTATTTGGTAGGAGAAGGTCCACCAGCACTCCTTTCCTTGTTGTATCTCCAGTCATTTGTGAGAGAAGGTGCTTTCAAGGAACCTCTTTGATTGCATTTGAGTTGCAGTGTTATTCCTCCAGCAAATGTCGGGGTAGTTGAAGTTGCCCACGAGCACCAGGGCCTGTGACTGTGAGGCTACCTTCAGCTGACTGTAAAAGGCCTCTTCCACATCCTCCTCCTGACCAGGTGGCCTGTAGCAAACACCCATGTTAGTCTGACCTATAATCCTCACCCATAAGCACTCAGCCCTCTCATCATTCACCCCGAGGAGCAGCTCCATACATACCAGGTGTTCCCTTACCTAAAGGGCAGCTCCACCACCTCGCCTTCCTGGTCTGTCTCTCCTAAAAGGCTTTTATGGCATTTATGGCAATGCTCCAGTTGTGGGAACTGTCCCACCATGTTTCAGGAACTGCAATAAGATGGAAGCCCTGTGTCTGCTCACAGATCTCTCACTCCTCCTGTTTATTTCCCATGCTGCATGCGTTGGTGCACAGGCACTACAGAGAGGAATTGGAGCGTGACAATTTTACAGGAGGGGTGAATGAGGACACCCCACAGATGTGTTCTGCAGGCACTTGCTTGGCTGCACTCCCTTGCCGGGGCTGTACCCCTTGAGTTTTGTTTTATTGTTTGGATAATCTCCATAACTTCCATAATTCCCCTCACCCTCTTCCTTCCTAGTTTAAAGCTCCATGTTGGCCAGTCTATTGGCAAAGGCACGTGTACCCCTGTTGGTGAGGTGGATCCCATCACTCACAAGCAGCTGTTGATCATCAAACCGGGTTCCATGATCATAGAAACCAAAACCCTGTTGCCAGCACCAGTGGCACAGGCAGTTGTTTACTTGGAGAACATGTCTATGCCTCTTCTCATCTGCAACCCTGACTGGTAGGATCAATGAGTAAATAAATAAGTAAAAGTAATTTAATTAAGATGCATACATATGTCTACAGAGCAAAAATCTTAACTGCTCAGGTTACAATTGGTTTAGACCAATTGGTTTAGAATTGGTTTATCTTCATAAAAATAAAGAAATGAACAAAAATGCCACAAAAGAAATATACCTCTGTGGAAGATAAGAACTATTTCCTGCAAATACTTAGGAATTAAGTGTGACTTTTTCTTTTTTAAGAGTTTTTATGTATGTCTTTCTAAAAATCTTAAGTACTGCTTTTCCTATCACAATAATGATCTACTCTGAATAATAACTATTATTAATAATAATTATAATTTTATGTTTTCGTGCTATAGTGAGGATGATAGCTATAGAATTGAATTTAAAGTTGAAGGCCTGTTTTTTCATTTTGCATGTGCATTGATCTTACCAGAAGCAGTGATTTTACAGAAAATTGTTCTGGATCCAAATTTACAGCAGATGCTGGATGCTAAGTATGTAGGAAGTTGGCTACATGGTGAACGCTTCCCAAACACAAACAAACCAAGGCTGCCATCCAGTTTGCCATTGTCCTTTTGAACTGTTTCTGGTTTGTGGCTCAGACTCTTGGGTCCTTAATTTCTAGTGCTGTGTTTGGCTTGTGTTGATCTGTGCTCCTGTGTTACTGAAAATTCATTCAGAAGATCCCGTCTTCCTTGTCAACCCATATGCATGATGTGTGCAGATTTTCTAGGGACTGAGCCAGTTCAGGAAAGCATTTGATGCTGTACTGCATGAAAATTATAAAAATTAGTTATTTCTGTAAACTTTCACCAATCTGTTCACTTCATTGTGATGTAAGAGACAATGTCAGTCAGGCACGAGCGAGCAGGGTGACTGAGTTGAAGCCCATGGAGCTGCATTTATCTACCTCACCACCAGCAGTTCTTTTGTCTGTCTTCTGATTTTGGTATTTCCAGTTGGTCACCTTGAGATACTGATGCACTGCTTGGCTGGACATGAGACATCTTTATGAGATATGGGTAAGAAATCAGCGTATGTGGTTACTTCTCACTTTATTGGATTTGGGAGACTGAGGATGGTGGTTCATTATTCCCTGTTAACATGGGAGTTAACTTCATAAGCCAGGTGCTTTTCTGATTTATATACGGTATCTCTGCCCCCACCTAACCAATAGCCCATGTCTGCAAAGAGTGAAAAACTTGATGCAGGCAACAGCGTGGCTCCTTGCAGAGCTTCCTCAGGTCTAATGGGGCCAGCTTTGAGGGAAAGGTGGTGTGCCATGTAACTGTGTCCCTGGGTGACTCAGAGCAGGATCAGCAGCCATGTAGAAATGGCACCTGGCTGGGCTGGTGCTGGTCTGTGCAGAGCCTTTGCATCCACAGAACTGGCTTTCTTGCCATGCCAGTATCTCTGTGATGGTACAGAGTGTTGAATGCTCTGGTGTTCTAGTATTGGCATGGCTTAGGTTTAGAAAAGGGGAATTGAGTGTCTTGTGGGGAAGAGGACTTGTCCCTTCGTGGCTGAGTTGGCAGTGACAGGTAGGTCTCTTAACTGCAGATTTTATGACTCTGGCACAGGAATCTCTCTTGCTTTCCTCTGTTGATCCTGTGTCACCTTATTTAAAATACAGAAATACTCAGAGGAACAGGATCCTCAGTTTCTCTCCCGTGAGCGTACCAGTCACTGAGCTATTGAGGTGTCTGGACGTGGATCCCTGAGCATTCTGAGAAGCAGCTTGTTGCATAAACGATGCCTTGGAGCTTGGCGTTAGTTGCCTAACTTCTGGAGATGCATACAATGTGATTCCAGTTCTCCTTGAGCACTTCTTCTGGCTGAAAGGTTATCTCTGCTTCCTGAATTCCAAGCAGTATTCTCAGGTGCCTCTCTGTGTGGACATTGGATAAGGAAACTGCTTTTGAGGATTTTGTGAAGTACCTGGAAGTTAAATGCCACAAGTTTCTGTTGCGATAGCCCGTCCTTTTTGTGGATCTGGCTCTTGATTGCTTTACTTTGTGTTGCAGAAGAGTGACAGAAGATTGCTTGAGAAGATCAGTCCTGTGGTGACTGAGATTGTCCTGATTTAGCTTACGCATGAAGTAGGCAAGGAAGAAAGTGTGGTGCGGGGTTACTTCTCTGGTAGCTTGGGTGGTGCTGTTCCTCTAACATGCGTGTCCACACTCACAAAGACAGGGGGAAACCATGAATCTGGTCTGATTTTTTTGGAACCAGAGCAATAACAACTTCTGCTAGAATTCCCTTCAGATGAGGAGCTTTTTTTATAGGTAACAGGCAGTTTATCAACAGTATTGCTGTTAATCTTCTAAGTTACAATTTTTTTATACAAAAAGTTTGGTAATAAATCTATTTACATTGCAAGTACACAAAGAACTTAAGATTATTTTGAGGTTCTGCTGCTGCCGAAGTCCAGATGTAATGAAGCTCTGTCTAGACTTCAGATGTTTGAGGGCCCGCAGTATACTTTATTTCAGTTAACTTATATTTGACTGTCTTTTATGCTCTGTATAGTATACATGGAGATAAAACCATATATAATTGAAAGCTTTGTATAAATAGTTCAGTTCTGTAATGCTTGGCAGAACTCTCTCATGTTTGTTTTGGACTGTAAATTGCAGAGGCTGGAATATCTATAGTTTAAGTCAAGCTGTAATTTAGGTTAGAACCACAAAATGCAGTGAGTTTTGCTAATAAGCTATTTTGGAAAGTACTGGAATACTTGTACTTTAGTTTGTTTCAGAATAACAATGTGAGATGCAATATTCCTGTTTATTGTTTCTAACCTTTGTTATAGTTAAGAAATAGAAGGATATATGTATTTTTATTTTGTACTTAAGAAATTCTTAAAGGGAAAACATGGAATAAGTTGTTTTACTGCAGAAAGAAATTCTGTAGCTGCTAGTTAATGCAAAATAGTCCAGAGCCTATAGAAGTAAAAAGCAGAATAGCCTACTTTATCTTTCTGAGTATGTGTCAATGACAATGGCAATGGCAATTTTATTGCCCAGTGTGGTAGTAGAGTCTTTTTGGGGGTTTTATTTTGCTTTTTTTAAAGTGAGTGAGTGCCTTGTGGCTCTACTGACCTCTGAAAACCTCCCCCCATGTGCCTTGTCCTTAAGACATGTGCCTCATTAATAGTCCCATCAACTTTGAACAGCTATTGTGAAGGTTCACAACTGAATGTGTATTAAAGTATATTGCATATATAGGTGTAGGGATGAATGATGAGGAAGAGTTTGCAAATAGATTTGTGATTTTGTTGCAGATATATTGACTATTTAGATGATGAGTAATTCAGCTCATTGAGCAGTTGCACAGCCTGCGATCTGAACTGCTACCTGGCTAGTTTAGGTTGAGGTGGGTGATGAGGGTCTGGCCCCCCGGGGTCTGCATGGTACGGGCATCTGACTGCTGGCCAGCCAGTCCCTGAGCCACTGGAGTTAGCAGCACAGAATTTTTAAGATGAGCTGCCATCTGACTTTGCCTTCTAAATGATGATGCTTGAGGTGCTGAGCGGTCAGCAGGTCCCAGCCTGTATGGCTGTGGGAGGAATGGACTGCTGGAAACAGTTCAGCCTATCAGCTCTTGCAAGTTAAGCTGTTCAGAACCCTAAAATAACTTGTTGCCTTTGAAAGTCCGAGTGCACGCGTTGCTTTTGCTCTCAAAGATGAGAGCTCGTATCTCTGCAAACATCTTTCATTGCAGAACAGCATTTGCTTGTTGACTGCATTTTTCTACCCCCCCAGCTCCTTGAACTCCGGATTGTCCTTGAGTAGGAAACTTAAACTGTGTCGTTTGAATTACTGGAGTAACCTGATTTCTACTGTGATAAAAGATTTCATTTTTATCTCTGTAAAATGCTAGACTGATGACATTTAAAAAATGCTTGTCAAGCTTTTAAATTAAACGTGATTGTATTTGCCTTAACTCTTAATAAGTCACATTTATGTGCTTTCAATATTTTTCTTTTATCTCTGGCAAATTAGCATGTACTAATGATGCATATTAAATTTATATATATTCATATTTAAAATATTTTATTCCTATTGGTGAATTTTAGTCCTGATAAATGTCTGTCTTGGGGCAGTTACATATATAATTTTGACTGAGGTTGGAAAATACAGATTATGACTGATATTTGGTGCTGGCAGCAATAGTTGATTATTACCCACAGCTCAGGTAGTGACATGGAGTATTTGGACCCCATCTAAATCAATGGAAAATTAGTTCATCCCATCTTCATTGGTAGTTTAAAGGATGGTTGATATTGCACTAATGTTCATAAGCTGCACTCACATTTCTGTTTTGTAGCTTTGCTGTTGAAGTAGCAACTTCTAGCAGACATGTAGCAACAAGATGCTGCTAATTAAACTGCCTCAGCCTCCTGCAAAGTAGTTTCTAAATCCTTACATACCAATTTAAAAGTGTCTTTAACTTGCCTTTGATCTTAATCCATCAATACAGCATCCAATCAGAAGAACCTCGTCTTTTCTCAACATTGTTTTGAATGTAATCAAACCCAAAAATTTCATCCTTCATTTAGTTTCATGTGTTGGGACATTTATTTATCGTGACTTATTAATTGTGCATGAATTAGGAGTCAGAGTTTCTTGGCAGCTGATTCACTGTGGCCACGAGCAAATTACCACCCTTGCCAGCCCATCTGGGAGCTGTACGAAGGCATTAATCTCTCTGGGTGTGATGCTAATCTCATTCTCATCCAGTGGAGAATAGCTCTATTGAAACAATAGTGTAGGATTAAATCAACCGTGACATACTTGTTTCACTGTTTTTAATTGAAACAGATTATCACTCTAAAAGTGGCTAAAGATTCCTTGAAGATTAATTGTTAGTACAGCTCTGTGATTATAAAGAGTAATTACTGCCTATTCTTTTGAGAGCATGTATATACACCATGGTTGACAGTGGCTGTGTTTCCTACATATCACACGTGAAATTATATATGTAAAATATTTTGTGTTTAGTTTTTGAGGTTTTACTTTAATTCTGTAATGACACTTACTGGACAGTAGTAGTGTTTGAGTCTAGTGCTGTAAATTATTAATCATTAAGCTGAGCTGTTGTTTCCTGTAGAGTAGGTAAATAGGTTAATGAATAACAGTGTGTATCTTTAATATAGATAGGAATCTAGGGTACACGGTGTAGTATGATTGTAGGAATTAAGATTTAAACCCGTGTTCACTTCCACAATTGAAATATGCAGGTCTGTAAGTGACAAGGTTGTAATATTGTTGCTTTAGGTCACAAGTTTCATATCAAACCGTGAAACGAGTACCATTGCTTCACAGTGAGACAGCTGGTGTCTCACATTGTTTAGCTTAGTTAACCTCAGTGTTAACTGGGTTAATGAAGCTAAATGTTTTAACTTGGTAGCTAGACCTCAGTGGTTAGGGGGGTAGGTTGTTACTGTCTTAAATAACTGGCTCCAGTGGCTGAACAAAGGCTCTTATCCTCTGTATATCTCAGCAATTCAAGATATTTCCTGTCTCTTGCAGTCAGGTTTGCCATAGCTGATTGTAACAGAGACCTCAGTATTTGAATCCACCATTTTCTATAATATTTAAGTATTTCTGTGGCATTAATCAGCAGGGTACAGGAGAACACTTTCACTTACTTGTTTTGACATACATTAGTAGTTACCATACATCCCAACCCTAGAGACATCTGATTATTTCTGGTAATATTTTCTGCTGGGATAAAACTCAGGTGAGGTAGGATGGAGCATCTGCACTGTCTGCCTGGAATAAAGAGCTTGTTTCTGTTGTGGCTTGGACTTGTAATTCTGCTAAGCACACAACAGAGAAGCATGCTGAGCACGAGATTCACGTACAGTTCTAGGTTGTAATTTACTTGTTGTGAAAGCACACCCAGCTATTCATTCTGTACTCTGCACCACTTGTTTTCACTTGTCTCAGTTGTGGTGGTGTTTGTAGGACCACACCGTAACTGGATTTCTGAGGTAGTCTGTCTTTCTGCCTCTGAATAAAATATAACATATTATCAACGTTCCTCCCATAACAAGTCCTACACTGAAACTAAAACACAGCTACTCTAACTGCTAAGAGGAAAATTAACTCTGTACTAGCAAAAACCAGGACAGTTGCAAACCCAGGAGTTACGATAAACAAATAAAATGCGGTATTTTCTCAGCAGTGCCTGATTAAATTACCCAATATAACTTACTGCTGTAGTATTTTACAAAGAGTATGAGCATAAGTGGTTGCAAAAGGGGTTAGATGTGTTCTAGTAAGAAAGCAAGTCTGTCAGTCTTTTCAACACAGTGGTGATGTTATAATCCACAGCTGGTTTCCTAAACCATTGATTGGAAGAAATTGGGTGGGATGTCAGCTTGTCTCCTTATACCCCTGTTGCTAGCAGCCAGGGTGGGAATGGAGTAGCCAGGTAAACGCACATCTGGTCTGTTTCAGAAGGTCTGCTTGTGTGTTCAGAACATTAAACTTCCTACTCTTGTGTTCATACCTTCAGGTGTCAAAAGGTAAATATTTTTAGCAAGCTGAAAGAAATATCATAAGAACAGTTACTCTTGGCAGCCGAGTCCTTGGATTTGTACCTTGACTGCATTACAGCCTGAGCAGAGTTTTCTTCCTAAAATTTTGCAATTTTGTATTTATCTGTAAAGGTAGTTTTGCATTTAAATAAAATAATGTTCTTTAAACAACTGTATTGAGCCAGTGACAACATGGTGTAGTAAAACTCTTGCAAACATTTGGTTTTTCGCTTGTCATTATCTACCTCTAATAAACAGTATTATTGAGTAGTGATTCTTAGGATATTTTAGCTTTTTGAGTATTTTCAAATAGCAAACTCTGTTAGAATGGTGAACGTTGGTTTTATGTCCTGACTTTCTTCATCATACATTGCTTTCTTTATACTAATTTTCTGTATCAAGGGAGTGAACTAATGATATGTAGCCTTATTAGCTATGTTAGAAAATACAATTTAAAAATTGTTAGTTGATAATCAAAATACCTAGTAAAATCTGTTTAGATCAAGTTGGTTTCATAGATAGGAATATTATTTTTTTTTAAATTCTTACTCTAGAGAAAATACTGCTGGTTTGTCTCAGTCTGCAAAAGTTCTTGACTGGCACCTCAAAACTTGCTGTAGAAAATAAATTTTATTTTTTATCAACTTAGATGAACGGTGAGTGATGAAAAGAAAGAACTCAATCAAGACAATTTCTGGACTAGATGATCTTTCAAGGTCCCTTTCAATCCCTAACATTCTGTGATTCCGTGACTTAATTACAAAAGTAAAGTCACTTTCCATAGGAGTTTTGTGTGACTACTCAGGCTAATGTCACAGAATCACAGAATGGTGGGGTTGGAAGGGACCTCAGGAGATCATCCAGTCCAACCCCCCTGG